TATGCTACAATAACGAATGTAATCTAACAACTTACATAGAAAATTAAGTTTAATCTCCATTTTTTAGAGAATTTTGTTCTTTTTCTGTAAAAATACATGTACTTATAGAACATATACAAAGTCTGAATATTGTAGTACAATGTAATATCAATTTCAGGTCATCAAGATCGAAAAAATGGATGTACATAAAAAGGCAACTTGAGAAAGAAGTTAATACTTTAACTCCAGCTATTGCTAAAAAGCATAAACCCAATTTTCGCATTTGTGAAAACACGAATTCTGAAAGCTTTGGGTTAGAACTTCAGAGTGATGAAGCTTCTAATGATGCCTTATATGTTAACCGACCTAAATATCAGGAAATATATCGGATTTTCCCTGGCTAGTGCTGGAGATAGAGAGGGTGGAAGAAAGTCCAGGCCGGTGAGTTTTTTTTTCGTTTAATAATGGTTTCATACAAGTAGACAAATAGCCATTATTTATTTTGCAATTTTAGTAAAATCTAACTGAGTTTATTTTATTTCTAGGAACCGATATCAGGACAAAAATAAGATGTGCGTGTGATAAAAAATGTTTGTTATTTAATTAATATATGTGGGGATTGTTCAATTAATATGTGCATTATTTAATATTCTGATTCCCCACAAAAAATAATTGAAAATAATATTGTCATTGTTAGGGTTGAATATTAATTAAAATCTCTTTTGCAGTCATACAATATCTTAATATTCATTTAAATTTGAAGTGAAAATGTTAGTCGGAGAATCGATCCAAAATCCAGAGGTGTGTCCGCCAATATTGAAATGTGAATGTATATATTTATTTTTAATTAAAATCGGATAATAAGAATTTGTTATGAGTTTTTAAAACTTATATACACGTGTTTATACACGTGAATATAAGTTTTAAAAACTCATAACATGTTTTTATTATCCGATTTTAATTAAAAAGAAATATATATTCACATTTCAATATTGGCCAAATAATTATTAACAATATTGAGCCATCCAGTATGTTGCATATAGCCAATATTGTACGAATATATTTTGCTACCTGGGTATCTGTTAATGACAAAAAACATCATTGCCGCTTTGACTTTTTATCAAAAAATTGTGGAAGAGAACTTTTTTGATATCAAAATTTTTCTAAATTTGAAGCAAATATCGTAATTTTTCTTTTTGAATGCTTAAGTATTCCAATATGCTTCCAATTAAACATGGAACACTTTCAAAAGAATGCTTCATAACAAAGTTGAAATTCGATTTTCAACTGTTAATATCTTCCAGAAATTATCGAAAAAATACTTTCATTGTTTTTCTCGTACCTTCCAAGTGCCTATTACCCCTTAAAAGGAATGACGCCAACTTTGAATCACCCTGTATACTTATAGAAAAATAATTTAAAAATATGCTCACCTTAAATGCGAAATTTTCATAGGGCAAATATTGTCTTAAAGTTCATATTTACCGAAATATCGCTCTTTGACGCACTAATTAGCAACGCCATAGATAGAGAAAAGTTTTTTTCGAATGTTGTTATCCTGAATTTGCAGCTGGGGAATGCTTACTTTTACGAGCAGCGGACATTCCCGCTCAACTCACTCTATGTGGATGTTTTCGAAAAGCAGCTATTTTCCTGGTAAATTTCCAGGGGCTTTATTAAAAAGTAAAGAAAAATATTAAGCTCGAAGTTGCCGAAGGAAAATACGCCAATATTATGCCCTGACCTCCATAAGTCATCAGTCGTCAATATCATCTATAATTTCCAGTCTGCCCGGCATCTATTTATATTATGTAAATAGCCCGTCAGGATTCGAACTTTCCCCATAATCCATATTCATTATCCGTCTCGTTTTCGACTGGTTTGCCGGCAATCGTTTATGGTATGAGCCAACAATCCATTGTACAGTCATTTTCCCTAATTTCCCTCGAAAAACAGTTTGTTCGTTCGCGTTGCGACTTGGGCTGCGTTTAATAAAATATATGTGGGACCCACATCTGCATCTGTTACCCCATGTTTGCCCCAAAAAACCGGTCACGTGGCTTAGCGCTGTCGCGAAAGTTATTTATGTGTCTGTTAAGGGAATTTATAAGCCTAACAAGTTGGGGGATAAATAAATGTGACACGGGCACAATTGCCACCAAAAAATGCCCCAAAACTTACAAGTTGTGGATTGGAATTTCGCGTTAACCCTTTTGCCTTATTCGCTCAGCCCTTGTCCAGAACTTTAGATGACTGGTTAATGCCACTGGGCAACAGCAAATTGCTAATTTTCATCAAATTTAACAATAACAAGCAGTTTTATTTATAATTAATATTCTGCTATTTAAACTGGTGAGTTTTTCGGCCTTTTAGGGCTTTTAGGGGTCTTCAGAGTTGTGTTCGCTTCGGGCCGAACGTTAGGAGGAAATTCTTTACGACGGCGTAAAAACTCACCAGTTGCTTTGCCACTTTGCAGCTTTACGTGTGTTTTCCCAATTTTCTATCGATTTATAGTACAATTTTCACTGTTTTCCTTGTCATAAATTATAAGAGCTTTTGTAATAATCGCTATAATATATTACATTATAATACAATATACAGGGTGAATCAAAATTGGCGTCATTCCTTTTAAGAGGTAATAGGGGCTCATTTGGAAGATACGAGAAGAATATTGAAAAGATGTTAACAGTAGAAAATCGAATTTCAACTTTCTCATTAAGCATTACATATTTTGAAAGTGTTCCATGTTTCATTACAAGCATATTGATTACTTAAGCATTCAAAAAGAAAAATTACGATCCTTGCTTCAAATTACGGAATTTTTTTATATTGAAAAAGGTATCTTCTATAGTTTTTTGATGAAAAGTCAAAGCGGCAATGATGTTTTTTATCATTAACAGATAGTTATAGGTGAATAGCCCTTGTCAATCATAACAATAATTTGGCAAACTGTGACTTGATCACATTAAACCGATGGATTACTGAACACCGGTATAAATTGAGCAGGAGTTAATTAACCGAATACGAGAAGCTGCTCGAGAAGAGTGCATAATAAGGTGACTGATTACACAGGCACTTGTTTGGAGATACAGACTCAAATGTRTGTTTTTGTAATTTGTAAACAAATTAATAATTCGAGGTTATGAGTTTCGAAATGGGTTCCGTCATTCAACTATTCCTATTGAATTTACCGTTTATCCTTGTCTATCTTATTGTCACTTTATTTATTTATCCATGGTTACCGGAGTTTTAAATAATTACGAAGCCACAGGTATTTACGTAATGTTAATTAGGCAGATTACCTTGAAAAACATTGCTGCCGTATTTCTGATATAGTTTTTTGCAAATTTCTCAGTTTTTAATAACGATTAATTTATTTTATTATTTTTTCTGTACTCCTATAATGGCGCCAGACAACACCTCCAGATGAATGACGCCAATTTTGAATCACCCTGTATAGTATGTCAACTGTATCCTGTGTATTGGACTTAATTGCAAAAGAGCCTTTCAGGGGCACTCAGAACATTGCACAAGCGCTGACGCTTTCCCAAGCACCAAATAAATACCGGCTACATTCCTGCCACGTATGTAAGATCACATTAAACGAATGGATTACTTATCACCGGTATAAATTGAGCAGGAGATAATTAACCGAATACGAGAAGCGTGCAAAATAAGGTGAATACACAGGAACTTGTTTGACAAGTTACAGACTCAAATGTATGTTTTCGTAATTTGTAAACAAATTAATAATTTGAGGTTATGAGTTTCGAAATCGGTTCCGTCATTCAATGATTCCTGTTGAGTTTACTGTTTATCCTTGTCTATCTTATTGTCACTTTCTCTATTTATCCATGGTTAGCGGAGTTACAGAGTAAATAATTACGAAGCAACAGTTATTTACGTCATTTTAGGTAGGCAGATTACCTTGAAAAGGATTGTTGCCGTTTTTGTAATAACGTTTTTTGCAAATTTTGCAGTTTTTAATAGCAATTAATTTTTTAAACTATTTTTTGTGTACTGCTAAAACACCACCAGACAACACCTCCAGAGGACAGACGCCAATTTTGAATCACCCGGTATGTACAGGGTAAGCACATGATCAAAAGAGCACTGAGACATTTTTTGGCTCAAAAGAAGACGGTCTGATCGAATTTTTGATATGAAAAAACGTCTGACTCCGTCGAAGTCGAAGTTTTTTAAAAAAATAGGTTTTTTGTAAATTAATCGATTTTAATGAAACTTGCTGCATTTTGCTGAAGCTTCCGCATCCATCGGTTTTAGCAAATTGTTAAATTTCTGAGTGTTTTTGTCCAAAAATAACCGAACATTTTTCTTTGGTAGTTGGAATCACTTCTGTTTTTGGTGCATGTATTAATTTTTTTCTAAGATTTTTGTGTTGGTCGCAAAATCATCTAGTGTTCATAGTTTATGCGCTAAATTTTTAAAGTGTTTCTTGACCTTTATCAATTTTCATCATCAATTATCAACATATTGCAATAAGCATTAATATTAATTTGAATGAAATGTGAATAAAATTCTGTGACGGACAGACAGTGATTTTGATTTGCAATTGCAGTTAATGCCTGAAATTGTTAAAAAGGAAGAAACCTGAAAAAAAAATTGTTGAAACCAAGAATGCTACACGATTTTACCAAGAACACTAAAATATCGAGAAATGGTTAATGTGTAATTGAAACAGAATGAGTTAATTCCACACGCCAAGCAAAAAATTCTGGAAATTTTTGTACCAAGACACTTATCAATTTATCAGTTGCATCGCTTGTATTGCAAAAGCCATTAAAAATCTGGAAAACCTGGACCATATTTAGTGCCCGGATTTTAGTAAAACTTTAGATGCAAAGTCTATTAACTAATATTTTTTGGAATTTCTCGAAACAATGATTGTGCTTGTTATAATTATCGATATATTGAAAGCAATTCTTTCAGAACGTTTACAAACTGCACCGTTCTTGGTTCTTTCGTTTCGAAGAAAGTTATAATTTTTACTACACACCAATAGTGATTTGGGTCCGATACAATCGGCGTTAATCATTATGGTTAATTATAACTCAACTCAAGACATTGAACTTTATAGATAAGATAAATCCTTCGCTGCAACAAGAAAGTTCAATTTTTAAAGCATCAATTACAATAAATAAAAAAACAATTAAAAGTTTCTAATTCTAATGTTCTATTATTCTCTAACAGACTGGCGAAACTCTTCAAGTAGAAAACACTCGAAAACGATCATCCGTCTGCGTATATAAAATGCAAAACGTCCTCGTTCAGAATTCAATTTACGTCTCGGACATTGGCTATATATGAAATCCAACTTTATTCGTCGGGCAAACAAAAACGGGTTTTTGGAACTTTCGACGGATCGCTGTTGGAATTGCTTGTCACTGCTGGGCGACAAATAATTAGAAATTTGAAGATGCCGCTTTCAACTCGGGATACGAAAATGATCTTAGTGTGGCAGCTACGTAAATGTGCGTTTTTCCATCGTCGGTTACTTTTGTATTTCGGTTAATTGGTTAAGTTTCCTAATGAAGAGCAGGTTTAAGGAAAAATACTCTTGAAGTCTTGTAAGTTTCTGCAACAGAAAGTCGATGTTCTCATCAGCGAGCA